CACAGCCCGCAACCCTAGTCCTCCTCAGAATCTTCCACAGGGCCCCGACCTGCTGTACCGGTGAAGGAACCGAGTTCCAGGGAGGGAAGGGGAGTGGTGGGGCAGGACCGGGCTGTCTCCCTGCCCCCGGTTACCTGCACAGTGGGAGCACGGGTTCCCCTGTACACCCCTGAACGGTTCTGAAAGGCAAGCACAGTCCTCAGATGAGGAAGGGGGCATAAATTATGCATGAGTGGAAGTCGAGCACATGTTGGTCATTTTAATAGATAGTGAATTGCCTTTCTGATTTATGGTTTCAGGGGTGGGTGACGATAAAAATAACATGGTGATTTATAAAACATCTTCTTAAGTCAACAGATCGTTAGTAGGTTTGTCTGACTTTACAGCCAACAGCCTCGCCACCCGGTTACCATAGGAATGGGATGCCTTGCTCTGTTGCCATGGCGACCACTTTCTAGAACACAATTGGTGGGACTCTCACAGTTTGTGATTTGGTTCTGGGGTGGTGGTGGTGGTGGTGGTGGTGGTGGTGGTGGTGGTGGTTGGAGTGGGGGTAGTGGGGGAGCCAGAAACCACCTGCGTGGGGATTAAGCTGCATTTGTTCAGGTGATTGCCTGTGTGCTTCTGAATTTCCCAGGCGGCTCCATTCTGTACCCTTAGATGAGAAGTCCGAGAGGCTCCGACCTGCAGGCTGCCTGGAGCAGGGCCTGGCAGTTGCAGGAAGCCAGGGGAGATGGACAGGCCCAGGAGCTTCCCCGGTGAGCAGGTGGCTGTGCACTGACCTCTCTGCTCTGACTCACACGTACTGGGCACAGGTGGGGTCTGGGAGTGTGCGTGCTCGGTGCCAGCACTGGAGGTTCATGCTGGCTTGCGTCCACATGTGCCGGCACCCGAGATGTCCCCTGCTTCCTCCATGTGCTTGCCTGTAGCAGCCTTTGTGGGCCCCCGGCTGTCCCATGTACTCTGGTCTGTGGGGGACTAGGATCTGTGAGGCTGGCAGCTTTCCTGGGGTGCAGCCGCACAGCTCCGGGAGAGACGCCTTCCCTAGTGGGGACAGCGGTCCCCATGTGCTCACGCCTCTACATGCTCCAGTCCTCGTGGCTGAGTGTAGACAGAACCTCTTTCTCTTTCCCTCAGGGAGCACGAGGCAGGGCTGCAAAAGGGCATGCGATTAAGCATGCATGTTGCATGTAAAGATGTGTGGAGCAGGCAAGGACATATGTGTGTATAACATGTAGAGGGTGTGTGTGTGCAGATAGGTGATGCAGGGTGTGTGGTGTGTGGGAACATTTGGTGTGTGTATAAAGGCTTATATGGTGTCTTAGAGCATAGATACAAGGGAGGTGTGTAAGGCACACATGTGTATAAGGACAAGTGTGGCGTGTGAGGGCATGCAAGGTATATATCTTTATATGCACGGAGGCATTCATGGTGTGTGCGAGTATATATACACGTGTGCATTTATGTGTATAAGGACATGGGGGAGTGTAAGGACATGCATGGTGTGTGTGAGTGTGTGTAAAAACATGGATTAAGTGTGTAAAGAAGGGTGGAAGTGTGTGAGTGACTACGTGGTAAGGACATGAGTTGGGGTGGAAGTACAGACATGGTATATATGAATGTGTGTGAGGATACTTTAGCTGTTGGCGTTGACTCGCCTCTGCCTTCCTGGGGATGCTGTTGGCCTTGATGCCAGCAATCCTGAACAGAGGCCTGAGAGGGACTCGAGGGTGTGCGGCCAGTCACCAACTTTCTCCTCCCTGGCATAGTCTGAGGAAGTCTGGGCTGTGGGCGCTGAGCTCAGAGGCATCCAGACTCAGCCCCCTCACCCCGACTGCCCCCCACTATCCCACTACCACCACCACCGGGTGCTTTTGTTGCAGCAGCCTTGCTTCTGTGGTGAGGGCAGAGCTGGGGGAAGCCCAGTCAGTCCAGGCGGTGGCTTCCTCCCAACTTCAGAGTTCGGTTCCATCCCGGCCTCTCGGCTCTGCTGCTTCTTTGGCACCACGGGGTGCCACCCCAGCTCACTGGCCGATCTGAGGATGAGGGGTGCAGAGTGGTCCTTCCCCGACCTTCCTGAGCACTGTCAGGGAAATGGGTTTTCAGCTGGGTGTCAGCGCTGGCTTTGCTCGCACCAGGGTTCGCGGCTGCTCTTTAGATTTCAGGGACTGCGGGACTCTGAGTAAGCCAATGGCAGCTGTGTCCCCTGCCCGCAGGCCCCCCTCAGACCTGGACCAGGGACCAGACTGGCAGAGGGGTGGGGGAACCCAGGTGGACAGCCGGGCACGAGAGCTGGCTCCCCTCCCAGGACCTCGGGGTTTCTGCTGACCTCACCCCTACCCCAGAGAGAGATGGGGCAGGAGGCCGCGGATGCTGAGAGCCCACAGTCCACCCCTTGAGCACTGGCATCTTTCTGGGCTGGGTGCTTCCCATTGAGCCTCACCAGAGAGAGCCAGTGAGACCCGGTGGGTGGTCACCTGAGAGTGAGAAGGCTCTGGGGACCCCACAGGCTCCCTGAGCACTAGTGGGCCCCAGCTGAAGACAAGCCCTCCACGTCTCTAAGGTGACTTGGGGTCTCTTTAGGGGTGCCATCGCTGACTACCTCTGGGGCCCTGAGGGAAGCTCTTCTGGGTGGGTGAGTGGCCCCCAGAAGGGCTCCTGGGCACAGGTTAGCAAGGGTTCTCCTGGGGGTGGACAGGAACACTTCAGGTTGGAAAAAGACATGGAGTGTGGAGAGTTCCACAGGACGGGGTACAAAGCAAGCACCCCAAGAGGGAGACAGGGGTTGAAGATCGTCTCTGTTGAAGGGAGGGCCGGGGGCCGTCTAACCCCTTAGACTGCGAATGTGTAAGGTGTGACTGAGCCTCCTGGGAGCTGAGGGACAGGGAAGACAGATGACTGGGCAAGGGAGGGTGGACCGGAACCCATGTGGACCCCTTTCCCCCAGACATGTGTCGTGTTCTCACCTCTGGCTCAAGGACCAGTGCACAGGACAGGGTAGTGGAGACTGGTTTGTCCTTGGGAGGTTGGGCTGTGGCCACGATGCTCTGGGCCAGCACACAGCATTGCAGGTACAGAACAGGGCTTGCTCCAAGAGTTCTGGGACCTCTTGATGGAAAGAGCTCTTGAGCAGATACACGTGGGTCAGGTGGCTGTTCTGGTGGCTTCCTGTTTGCTTCATGGTCTACCTCTGTGAGGACAGGCCACCTCTGATCTGGACAGTTTCTGTTGTCAGTGGATCTGGCTGGAATCCTGATCCTGCCTCTGACAAATGTGGACACATCCCCCCTTCCCACCACTACTTGTCTAAGTCTGCCTACTTCACAAGACTGAGGGGCTCACCCTTTCACCTCACCTCATTTGTCTTGTGTCTGCCTTTTTTTTCTTTTTGGTTCATACCCGGCAATACACAGGGGTTACTCCTGGCTCTGCACTCAGAAATTACTTCTGGTGGTGCTCGGAGGACCATATGGGATGCTGGGAATCGATCCCAGGTTGGCGGCGTGCAAGGCAAATGCCCTACCCGCCGTGCTGTCACTCCCGCTCTTCTTGTATCTGTCCTTGACCCTTAACTGCACAAGGAGCTCTCTGAAGACCAATCTTATTCTCCTCTCTGCTGGGCCTCCCCCGATCCCTGCTGAGGAACAGAAGGAAGGAGAAATGGAGGAAAGGATGCATCTATTTCCAGATGAGTGGCTGGATGGGTGGATGGAGGAATGAAGGATGGAGAAAAGAAAGACGGGAAAGAAGGAAGGAGGAAGGAAAGCTGGAAGGATGGGAGGAAGGAAGCAGGAGGGAAGGAATAAAGGCTCACTGAGTCTTTGGTTTGTAGCTCTCTGCTCGGCCGGTTGCTGACCTGTGGCTCAATCAGCATTCACAGGGCTGTCCTGGGCTACCCCTGCTGGACCCCACCAGCAGTGGGGACATGCCTCGTGCCAACTGAAGAAATGGCTCCTGCTACTGCTATAGGGGTGTGTGGGTGGGGGGGGGGGGAGCTGACCCTCTTTTAAATGCCGAGGGGGGCCCTCAGGAGCATAAGAGAGCTCCCATTCCCTGCCTGGGCCATGCAGAGACCATGCTTAGAATTCAGCTTGGGAGAAGGAGTTCGAGTCAGCTACTTGATTCTCATTCCCTGGGTCCCCATGTCTTTGGGCACTAGAAAATCCAGGGAGCATCAGCTAGAGCTGCCAAACCCATCCCAGGATCCTTTCATCCGGATGGGATTGGGGGTTCAGGCCTGAGCTATCGTTCCTAGACATGCTGGGTTCTCTTGCCCATTGGGCGAGGTTGGGAAGACCCCAGTCTCAATAGCATCTTCCCTTCTACCCGCACCCTGGCCCTGGGATGAGCAGAGAGTGGCAGAGAAGCAGGCCCTGAGTTGGAATGCCCTGGTCCAGTCCTCCTGATGTCCGAACCCTCAACCCCATGACTGGCCACTCTGTGAAGATTCCCAGAGTGAGGGATAGGGCAACGCCAACTCCCAGAGGTTGAGAGGAGTCGGTATGAAGGACCCCACAGCAGGTGGACATCTTTCTCCCATTCTAGCAGGCTGGAGAGAGCCTGTGAGTGCCAGGGAGAAGAGAGCAGGGTCGGGGGATGAGAACAATGACAGTGGCCTTTGAGGAGCCGATCCCACCCAGCTACCCCCCCCCCCACCTTCTCTCTGTGCCCAGGGGGCTGGTCCACTTAGTAGTAAGGGTGGGCAGCATGGGTCCACCCAACACCTGTGCATCACAGTGGCTTCCTACAGCACAATTTTCTAATTTTCCCCCCACTCAAGCAGATAGCCAAATGAGGGGGATTTCATGGGGGTCTGTTTCTGGGAACTCGGGCTCTGTCCTTCTGCTCTTTTTGCCCCTAGGGCATCAGCATTTGCCCGGGGGGAGCTGTGAGGGGTCACTGTGGGGGCTTGTTCCCTCAGCTCCAGTCCCTCGATCTGGCCCAGGACTGCTCTGGCTCAGAGTGCCTCCCTCTGACGCGGTGTATTTCTCCTCTTGCAGTATGTGGCCTTCGCCTCCCTCTTCTTCATCCTGGTCTCCATCACCACCTTCTGCCTGGAGACGCACGAGCGCTTCAACCCCATCGTGAACAAGACGGAGATCGAGACCGTCCTGAACGGCACGCAGGTGCGCTACTACCGGGAGGCAGAGACGGAGGCCTTCCTCACTTACATCGAGGGCGTCTGCGTGGTCTGGTTCACCTTCGAGTTCCTCATGCGCGTCATCTTCTGCCCCAACAAGGTCGAGTTCATCAAGAACTCGCTCAACATCATCGACTTTGTGGCCATCCTGCCCTTCTACCTGGAGGTGGGCCTCAGCGGCCTGTCCTCCAAGGCGGCCAAGGACGTGCTGGGCTTCCTGCGGGTGGTGCGCTTCGTGCGGATCTTGCGCATCTTCAAGCTCACCCGCCACTTTGTGGGCCTGCGGGTACTGGGCCACACCCTGCGGGCCAGCACCAACGAGTTCCTGCTGCTCATCATCTTCCTGGCCCTGGGCGTCCTCATCTTCGCCACCATGATCTACTACGCCGAGAGGATAGGGGCCCAGCCCAACGACCCCAGCGCCAGCGAGCACACCCACTTCAAGAACATCCCCATCGGCTTCTGGTGGGCCGTGGTCACCATGACGACGCTGGGCTACGGAGACATGTACCCGCAGACGTGGTCGGGCATGCTGGTGGGGGCGCTGTGTGCGCTGGCGGGTGTGCTGACCATCGCCATGCCCGTGCCAGTCATCGTGAACAATTTCGGCATGTACTACTCCTTAGCCATGGCTAAGCAGAAACTACCAAAGAAAAAAAAGAAGCATATTCCACGGCCGCCGCAGCTGGGATCTCCCAATTATTGTAAATCTGTCGTAAACTCTCCACACCACAGTACTCAGAGTGACACATGCCCGCTCGCCCAGGAAGAGATTTTAGAAATTAACAGAGCAGGTAGGAAACCTCTTAGAGGCATGTCGATCTGACCTTTCACCTCTGACCCCCCTGTAGCGATGATTGATTTCCAGATTCAGTCAGACTGCTTCCTTAGTTCCGTGGGTGAGCCCGGAGCCTCCCCGCTCCCCACCTCTAGGCACGGAGCCTGGGTGCCCAGGGAGATGTCGGGCAGCCACTTTCACCAGGCGGGTGCCTGCTCGCGGGACCTCGTGGGGGGCCCCGGGTCAGGAGGTTGACGCAGCCGGTGTCGCCAGGTGCCAGAGAGTCAACCCGGCCTGAGAGGCTGCTGAGTACTCTCTTGGCAGGAGCCCCGGGGCGGGGGGCAGGGGGGTGGGGGGAGAGCAGTGAGTCACTGCTCGGGCCCCCTACCCGGGTCTTGGGGGCAGGGCAGGGTGGGTGTCGTTGGCACATGCTGGACAGTTTCCAGTTTGGTCCTGGCACGGCGCCCCACCCAGCGGTGCTGGGGGCACGGAAGGGGGATGGATGGTATTCCGGGGTGGGTCCCTGTTGAAGGCAGCCCCCCTCGCCCTTCCCCCCCGACAAACACCGAGCTGCTCCTCCAGAGCCGAGTAGAATTCCTGCTCGATTTGGGCTGCCTGGCTCCAGGCCCGTCCTCGGAGACGCCTCAGCCCTCCGTGACAAGCTCCCCCCCACCCATAGCATGCTGAACCAACTCATTTCCTACCACCACTCTAGAGTTTAGCGTTAATCTGTAGGGACCCAAGGGAGTGACTCTAGCTTTCACATTGTCTGTTGGGGTTGATGGTTGAGAGGGCATTTCCGGTGACCTTGGAAGCGGCTGGTGAGCCAAGGATGAGATGGATGCCAATCCCTGGGCAGCTCAGAGGGAAGCGTGGCAGACAGACAGACAGACCAGCAGCAACTCCCCCCACCTCACCCCGGGAGGGAGGGGCTCCTCCTGGCATCAGGCAGTAGGGAACTCAGCAGCAATATGCCACCTCCTCACCCATGTGCCACCAAGTAGGTGCCCACAAATTCACTGGAGGGCGGGGCGGGGGAGGGGCGGGGGCCATGCCACAATACTAGTCACCGTGGGATATATTCTCATATTCCATGGCTAGTGGTTCGTTATGGGACTCTCAGTTTTATGAGAACCTGCATGTAGCACATAAAGTGGGTCACGGGGCTCTGGAGATACGAAGCCCATAGTCTACCTCTACCCATGGAATACCATCGACCTATTCTGTGGACACATGGAGTTCCGGGGCAGGAGTGGCCCGGAGGAGGACGGCCACGCTGAACAGCGAGGCAAGGAGCCATAGTAGCGCTTAGTCTGTGCCTGGTGGGAAGGCGGGTGAAGGCGGTCCAGGGCCCCCTCACCCTAAGGATGAGTGATTCTCTCTGCTGATGTGCTCTCTAGGCCACCAGCCCCTCCCCCCTTCCTCCTTCTCCTCCTCCTCCTCCAGATCTGGCTTCATCCCACCATGGTACCCCCAGACCGCCTTCTCTGCTCCTGGGGACTCTCCCACACCCCCTTCTCAGGCACCACGACCCGGGGACCCCCGAGACTAGAGCAGGGGAGGAGGCCAAGCAAGGTTGCAGCTCTGTGAGCCCCGCCTGGCTCTGTGTGGAACTCCTGCCCTTTGTGTTAGCTCCCCCTAGAAGCCCAGGCGTGCCCAGGCATGGGTGCCCCAGGCCAGTGTGTCAGGGATCCCCGGCTCACTCCAGCCGGCACAGAGGCCTCTGCACGCATAGACAATGCCAGGATGCGCGTGTACACATAACACACACACACACACACACACACACACACACACACACACACCTGCTTGGCTCTCCAGACTCCCCGACCCCAGCCCCTCCTACTGACTGAGTTGCAGAGAAGCAGGAAAGCCCAAGAAGGACTCCCACCTGGGGCCTCTGGACCCCACAATCCTGAAGCTCTGCTTTGGGGCTCCCCTGGCCCATGACCCCAGGGCTCAGGCTCCACAAAGCTCTGGCTTGAGCAGCCCTGAGTGGCTGTGTGAGATCGTGGGTGCTCCCAAACCCCCTCGAGCCTGGGTCCTCGGGCTTTCCCCTCCCCCTCTCCCCACTGGGCCCTCACATCCCACACCTGTCTCCCAGGCCCCCTCAGAGCCTCGCCCCTCTCTCGAACCTACCAGACTGGGAGTCCAAGAGTGTCTCTGCACGTGGGGCTGTGGTCACCTGGGCAGGGTCCCCGTTGCTGGGTCTTCAAGTCCTTCCGTTCTCCTCCCTCGCAGTTTGCTCCTGGGCTTTTAGTGGGCGTGGGGTCTGAGGTGTGTGTGTGTGTGTGTGTGTGTGTGTGTGTGTGTGTGTGTGTGTGTGTGTATAAGGGGCTGCAGGGAAGCCAGGGGGCCCTGTAGATCTGGGGAGGTGGGATGCAGCCCGCCCCCTTCCCCCCAAGAAATTAGGAGCCCCACTCCCTCATCAGGGCACTTAGGCGGCCTCCAGGGAAACCCAGGGTTCTCCACTTCCTCTTGGAGGGCCAAGTACAGCATGCTGTGCTCCAGGGGTGGCCCCCACCCCACCCCCACCCCACCCTGGTGGTGCTGCAGTGCCCCTCCCCCTCTTCCTCCCTGAGTCTCTGCTGTGGCTGCCTGTGGGGGATGAGCAGCTCTGCTCTGTCCCATGGCTGTCACGGCCTCACTGTGAGAACACTGGTCACTTGGTGGTGGGGTCTTACAGGGACCTGCAGACAGGGCACCCCACCAAGCCAGGGGCCGCCTGGGAAGGATGGTCCAGGAGGAACCGCTTCTCTCAGAAGGGGGTTCCACCACCCCCATCTGCACTGGGGGACCCAGGCCACCTGCCGTGAATGGCTTGAGGGTCCCCCTCTGTTCTGCCGTGTCCATTCTCGTGTGTCTGTCCGTCTGCGCTCCTTTGTGGTGCCCTATAGGTGAGCTGCTGGTGGGGGGGATGCACTGGGATGGGGGGTCCGTCTGCATGTGGGGTCTCACTGAGGTTCAAAGGGCGCCCCGTGTAGCCTGAGTCCTCACGGGGAGGGGGAGGGGTGGAGGAGCCAGGTTCAGAGTGCCCCCTGCCCTCGACCTCTCTGCTGCAGGGCTTTTGAGGGGGCAGGGTGGTGCTTGCTCAGGATGCAGAGAGGGGGCTGGGACTGGGGTGGGGTGCGGGCAGGCGTCTCCCCCCAGGGCTGAGCGAGTGTCTCTTCTGGCATAGAGCAGGTGGGGGAGGCTGGGGTCCTGGCGGGCGGGGGGCTTTGTGAGGGCGGGGAAGTAGCAGAGCCTCCAGGGCCCAGGACCAGGTAACTGCTCTCCGTGTTCTCTTTCTCTCTCCACTAATCGTGTCTCTCTCTCTCTTTCTCTCTCTCTCTCTCTCTCTCTCTCTCTCTCTCTCCACTAATCGTGTCTCTCTCTCTTTCTCTCTCTCTCTCTCCTCGTTTTTGTCGCATGACTTGTGCCGGTTCTGGTGATTGTTCTCTGCTCCTGTCTCACACACTGTCCCCTCTTAGCCTGGGACTTGTCCCCATCTCCCCTTCTCCCAAACCCGCCCCCCCCAACTGGGGATACCCCCACCCCACCTCCAGGAAGTACCCCCACCCCGTCCCCGCCCGCGCGCGCCCCCTGGCGCCCGCCGCGTGAACAGTAAGTACCTCGTCACCGCGGGGCGAGTCCGGCCGGACAGCCAGCCCATCCGGGCGCGCCCTCCCCGCTTTTCCTTGCTCCAAAGTTTAACAAAAAATGACCCGCAGACGCTCATCTCGTGCAGCCCATTTCAAAGCCTGGACACCATCCCTGCGAGACGCTGCTCATGCTGCCATTTCATCACTGCAGCCCCGCGGCTCTAGTTGGGCGGGCGGAACCCCCCAGATGGGGGGGGAGGGTATGGAGCGGGGAGGGGGAGCGGGGCGCGGAGTGGCCTGGGTACCATAGCATCCATCCAAAGGAAGGCGGAAGGCGGGGCGCGGGAGGAGTCTGGCGTGAGCTCATGGCTCTGGAACCCCTGCATCATGGGTTCTCCAGGGGTGAGCATCCCCAAATGTAGACCAGTCACAAGTTCACCAAGCAAAACCTAGGCACACCGGGCAGCCCGGCTCCCTTCCCAGAGGCCTCTGTGGAGAGGAAGGCAGGTCAGGTTGAGGTACTGGGGGGCGGGAGAGAGATGTGCCAGCTCCTTGTCACCCAGGTTCTCCGATAACTGCCCTGCTTATCATCCCCCCTCCACCCTGCAGCCTGAGCTCCAGGGCACCCGGCTAGAGGGGGTCCATTGGAGCCAGAGCTGGGGCTGGGGGACACAGAGGAACTTGCAGGCACTGAGAGCCCTGAATTCCTGTACTCCTTCCACTCCAGCTCACATCCCTCCCCCACGCACCCCTCCCTGAGCCCCACACACTGGAAGGGGAGAGGAGCCATGAGTGGGGGGTGGAGGGGTCATCCAGGGCTTGTCTGAGCACACAAGCCTGTGCCCGCAGACACGCCTGGGTGCCATGCAGCCCGAAGAGCCCCCCAGACCCCAGTCCTAGTCACGTGATGTCAGAGTTACCTAGGTAACTGGCCCTTCTGGTTTGTAGTCAAACGGGGAGCGAAGCCCCTGGGATGTGCTAAGAAACACACTGTACGTGAAATGCTTTGCCATCTTGTACGACAGACTTTTTTTTTAAGTTCCAAAATTATGATGGGTTTTTTTTTTTTGGATTTGCTTTCCGAATAAACCTGATTGGTCCATTTCTCCTCTGACTGACTGCCTCTTTGTAGTGACGTGACGTGGGCACGGCGCGTGTGCGCGGAGAAGGACCGCCTCTGCGTGTCCTCATGTGAGGTGAACGAAGAGGGTCCCATCGGGCAAGACTGTCAGTCTGCAGTCTTGGCCCTGTTCGTGTCTGTCTGTCCTTGAGGCCTCAGCCTAGATAGGCTTTGAGGAAGCCTGGGGTTCTTTGTGGGGGGCCAACTTGGCTCCCCAACACCTCCCTCAGGAAGATTGTGCTCGGAGGGCAATGTGGGGGTTCACGCTCAGTCTCCCAGTGATTAGTGGAGGGCAGAGGCTGGATAGACTTCTGCCAATTCCAGAGGCTTCCATGGCTCTGCTCCTGGACTTGGCAGAGGGGAAGTTCCTCCCTCTGGCCGCACTTGACCCCCTACCAAAAGGACCCCCCAAATCTCCTTCCAGGTTCTCCTCAGGCCGCCACAGAGGCCAAGCCTCGTCTTCCCCACCAGAGCCATCCGCCACTGTTGTCCTCCCACCTCCATCTGCTCGCTTTGCCCGACGCTGCCCAGAGGAGACAGGACGGAGCGGCCCCTCCCACATGGCCCTGGCACCCTCATGCTTCCATCCCCGCTGTGCCTGTGCGCTGAGCAGCTCTGGGCAGAGCAGGGGACACGCTGCCGCGATCTGTGTGGGGTGAAGCAGATGCGTGACTGAGTCTGTGAGGAGACAGAGCAGAGCGCGACCAGGTTGAGTGTGAAGGCACAGCAGACTGTGACAGGGGTGGGTGTGAGGGGACAGAGGACAGTGTGACCATGTTGGGTGGAGATGGACAGAGGACAGTGTGACTGGGGTGGGTGTGAGGGGACAGAGGAGACAGTGACTGGGTTGGGTGTGAGGTGACAGAGGAGACTGACTAGATTGTTGTGAGGGGACAGAGGACAGTGTGACTGGGTTGGGTGTGAGGGGACAGAGGAGACTGTGACTAGATTGTTGTGAGGGGACAGAGGACAGTGTGACCAGGTTGGGTGTGAGGGGACAGAGAGACTGTGACAGGGCTGGGTGTGAGGGCACAGAGAGACTGTGACTGGGCTGGGTATGAGGGGACAGAGGAGACAGTGACCGTGTTGGGTGTGAGGGCACAGAGGAGACTGTGACCTGGTTGGGTATGAGGTGACACAGGAAACTGTGATTAGGTTGTTGTGAGGGGACAGAAGACATTGTAACCAGGTTAGGTGTGCGGGGACAGAGGAGACTGTGACTGAGTTAGGTGTGAGGGGACGGAGACTGTGACTGGGCTGGGTGGGAGGGGACAGAGCGACTTTGTTGGAGTGTGGGGTCCGACCCCTGGTGGCTGGCCTCGGGGCTGGCTGGCGGGTCTGCGTGTGGAGCGCTGGTCTGCGTGAGCCCCGCAGGGAGCTGAGGTGTGTGGCGAGCGGGGACGCTGACTGCAGGCACGCATGGCGTGTGGGTGCCTGGCCGCCAGGCTCCAGCGGCTCTGAGGGTTCAGAGGCCCATCTGTGGGCCTGAGTGTTTCTGCGTGTCTGTCTGTCCTTCCCCCGAGCTCTGTCCGGCCCTCTCCCCCTGCCCGCATCCACACCGCCCTGCCCCATCGGCCCCCTCGGCCCTCCGGCCGGGCCCCAGGACCGTGCTTGCTGGGCCCATCACTGACTCATCTTTTCGCAAACTTTGAGCAAATCCAGGAGCCTCCTCTTCCCTCTAGGCGGCCTCCCTCCCTCCCCTCCTCAGGGCGTCTCACCTCTGGCCTGCCCCGCCCCCCCGCGCACCCCACTAAACAGTTTTCAGTGTCTCAATAGCTTCTGCTTATATGTTTGAAGATTCCAAACTGAATGGGGAGGTGGCGAAGGCCGCGCTGGCGAACGAAGACTGCCCCCACATAGACCAGGCCCTCAGCCCCGATGAGGGTCTGCCCTTTACACGCTCGGGCACCCGCGAGAGATACGGACCCTGCTTCCTCTTATCAACCGGGGAGTACGCGTGCCCGCCTGGTGGAGGAATGAGAAAGGGTATGTAGAGGGGCTGGGCGCCCTCTGCCTCGGCCGGGCCGCGCTCCTGCAGATGGGGGGCAGGGGGTGGGGGGGTCGGTCCGAGGGCTGCTGCGGGGCAGGCAGGCACACAAAGAAGGGGAGGGGGGCAAGGAAAGGAGCTAGAGAGCCCCCCCCCCAGGGCTGACTTCTTTCCCCTCAAGTGTGGAGCCAAGCTGGCAGGAAGAACCAGAGCCCAAGGGGTGCAGGGATTTGGTGGGAGGGGGGCTGGGGGTCACGCCGAATGGGGAGGCAGAGGTGGGACAGCAGCTGACAGCCGACTGTGCCCCCTGGCAGGGAGGAGCCTCAGGCTGCTCTGGCAGATGCAGGGGGGACTCCGGAGGCCAGGAGATAGTCCCCCTGGACCTTGGCTGAGGACGCGCCTGGCTTGGCCAGGCAGGACCCTGTGGGGAATTAGCTCCCCACTACCCCTCCCCCCCAGATTGTGCTCTGGAGAGTCACGTTCTAGAGACAACCAACCCACAGACCAGTTTGGGAGGGCATGGAGAGTGAGTGTCTTCCGGGCTGGGGGTGAGAGCAGTGTCTCTGGAGAGGTCAGGAGTGTGTCCAGTCGGGGCTTAGGGGTTAGGATCAAGGGAGGAGCTGGTAAAGAATGAGGAGGGCCCTCTAGCAAGGCCCCGGGTATGGGGAGCGCCCCCTTGTGGTGGGGGAGGGCTGACTCCAGCTCCCCTCGGCCCTCTCGCTGAGGCTGACCCCTGCAGGAAAGGCTTCTACCTGAGCTTGAGTGTGTGGGCTGGGGAGATGCTTGGGGTGGGCGCCTAGAGTCCCCTAGCTCCAGGCTGTCTGTGTTGGCTTCAGTCGGGCAGGGGGGAGCATCCGCCTTGGGCGGGCGGAGCAGGCTGATGGGTTCCTGGTGCATGCGGGGTGCGTCCTGGGCTCACACTAGGAGGTGTGTGGGGGGGGGGTGTGCATGCCGCCAGCCGGACAGGGCGGGCCAAGGGGGACAGGCCTGTGCTCTTCAGACCCATGGTCGGCCTCGCTCGTGGCCACTGCAGCTGCTCCCATTCTTGACATGGTTAACTCATCCACATGACAAGACGCGGGCTTCAGAATCCGAGGGCAGGCTGGGAAAGGGGAGAAGAACACAGGGGTGGTCCCCTCTGGCCACAGAGGCTGGTGGTGCCCACCCGGCCCAGGCTGCTTCCTGCTTCCCTGTCCTGCCTGGGGGTCCCTTGGACCCCACTGCGGCTTCCTGCTCCCGCATGGGGCTGCATGGCGGCAGGGGTGGGGGCTGTGGGGGGGGTTGTGGGGGGGCAGCCTCATCCCTGGCATCTTCCACGGAGAGGCCTGAAGCCCCGCAATGCCCTGACACAGGGAGGCAGAGGCTGATGGGGAGAAAGGCTGCCTGGCCCCTTCGTCTCAATGTGGAGTCCATCTGTGTCACCCAGAGTAGCAGAAAGGGACACGGTCCCCACCAGGCTTCCAGAAGTTCAGGGAGCCCTGTGGTGACCACTCTCCACAGATGAGACCCATTCCCAGACCCCAGAGAGCCGTGGGGACCAGCCGAGGAGCTGGTGCTCCCTCCCACCTCCCCGGGGCCAGGGTCCCCGCTCTCTTAGACCCCGATGGCTTTGCTTGGGACAGTGAGAGGCTGTGAGAACCCTGTGCAGCGTAGGCAAGAGCGTGAGGGGCCGCCCTGAACACCCCCCCCAAAAGGGCGTGTGTGGGGCTGGCTCAGTGCATGGGAAAGCCAGGCCGGCCGGGAAGGAACCTACCCGCCTCTGCATGCGCTGTCCACTTTCCTCCTCCTCCTGTAGGAACTAAGTCCCCAGCGGGCCGGCCGGGAAAGCCGAGGAGAGACGCTCAAGTGTTAATTGTATTCTTTACATACAGATCTTTGCAAAGAAAGCCCTGTCATTGCTAAGTATATGCCGACAGAGGCTGTGAGAGTGACTTGACCAGGCGGCTTGGCCCAGGACACTGGTGGCTATTAAGCAGCTGGGTGGACCTGCAGCCCCTCCTCACCCTCGGACAGAGTAAATTCACGCCATGCAGGTTTGCCGGACGAGGCCGAGGGGGCCCAGGCCTTGTGCTAGGACGGACGTAGCTTTTTCTACGGCCAAGTGGTAACTGACCGTAGAGGATTTCGTTTCTTTCTTTTCTTTCTTCTTCTTCTTGTTCTTCTTCCTCTTTATTCCCTCCCCCCTTCAGTTTCATTTTATTTGGGGAGGGGGGGCGCGGAGGGGTTCCTTAGCATGACTTGCATGAAGTTAAACAGAAAACCTACCCCCACCCTCCACCCCTGCAACTGTATGATCATTCTCAACAACAACGAAAAGACTAAAGCAAAAGTCCTCTATTTTTTCGCCAAGCTCTTTCACACGTGGTGTGGGAGCCAAACTTTAAAGGCGCTCAGTAGCAACCTGTACATTTGGGGGGGAGGGGAGCAGGGGTGGGGGGAGGGGGCAGGGAACCGATCGCTTCCTTTTCTGTCCACGGGATCAAGAGCAAAGGTTCCAAAAAGGGCAGCTGGTCAGTCATCGGTCATATTGACCTCACCTTCATACTCCATCTCTCATGCGGAAACTCAGAACTCTGCTGCAGGTAGAATCATGGACACTCGCGCTGCCTCCTCCTTCTCGTTTGGCATGTTTTGTGACCCGGCGGACGTCTGTCTCCCCTGCACCCTTGAAGTGGCTAGTCTAGGTCGAGTCTATCATCTCGTTGGTGTGTAGCTCCAGTGTGACCAACTTCCATCACCAGTTGTTCCTAGTAGCGCATCCCACCGTGTCTGGATTTTCCAAGTGTTACTTAGCTGCACCAGGCCGTGGGGACGTGGGGAGGAAGGGAGAGCCTCCTCCCCCCCGATTCAGGCACAAGCCCGGCCTCCTCTGCACTCTTAGTACTGCCGAGTAAAACACTGCATGCCTGATGTTCTGCAAAGCGATTCCAGCATGAAATAAATTTTGTATCATGGTTTTCTGTATAGTCTAAAGCAGATTTGTTTTCCGGAAAGCAATCGGAAGGTTTGCAGAGACACACACTTCTGCATCTTGAATAAATATAGTATTTTCCCAACAGAAACTGAGGACAGTAGCTTGGCTTTGGTCTGATTCTAAAATTAGTGGTGGTGGGGGGAGGTGAGGGCTGGGGGAGATGATATTTTTGAGAAACACATGCTTGAGTTGGAAAAAAAATGCAACATCTCGAGCCTTCGCTGCAGCGTGCTGGTTCCTGGAAAGAGCGGTGGCTGCCTGTGCCACAGCACCCGGCCCGGTTCGGGGCCCTCCAGAATAAAAAGGCCAACTTTGGAGACGAAGCACTGACTCGGGTTTTTATTGCTGGGAGCTAGTGTCTGTCGCCGATTCGGCCGGGCGTGGGCCTGTCCGTTCAGCAGCTATGACAGGGGCTCAGGGAGGCAGCGGGGCTGGAGAAGGAGCTCCCCAGTCCTCAGGACCCATCCAAGGTGCTGGCTGTCCTCCTGCTGGAAGGGAGCCGGGGCCCCAGGGATACCCCCACCTGCTCCCACAGAGCCTGCTGGGTGGAGAGAGGGAGGCCACTCTCCAGAGGGAAAGGGCATTCGAGGACCTGACCAAAGACAAACAGCCTCTGGGGAGCTCACCAGCTCGGAAACTCTCCGTGACTCATGCCATCTCGATGACTCGCCACGGCTTCCCAGGGCCGAGCTCCAGGGCCGAGCAGGCCACGGTCACCTCCCGCCCAGGCCCTTTCTTGACTGTGATGGAGCGGGAGGCAGGATCTGAATGTGGGGGGGCTGACTGTGCCCACCCCCCTTGCTGGGCCTGCATGGTGGGCCATCTCCATGGTTTTCTTTCTTTACTTCTGTATTTCGTCCACACCCAGGGCTGCTCCTGCCTCTGTGCTCAAGGATCGTTCCTGGGGGTCCTGGTGGGGAGGGAGGATGATGTGGTTCTGGGGATGCAAAGCCTGTGCTCAGGCCCTGGCTCTCCCCTGAGCTCTGGAGTTGTTCGGGTTGTTTGCTTGATTTTGGGAGGGAAGTGTGATTCTGACTTCCTCCTATCCACTAAGAATCCAGAGATGATGGGGGCCGGAGTGATAGTACAGCGGGTAGGGCATTTGCTTTGCATGTGACTGACTCACCCCTCAGCATCCCTTATGGTCCCCCCAGCACCACCAGGAGTAACCCCTGAACATTGCTGGGTGTGACCCAAAAAGAAAAAAAATCCAGAGATGTTCCTGTCGAAAGGGTCTCTTGTGGCCACATGACCTCCCTCCGAGCATCAAGCAGAGGAGGAACTGATTGCCTGGGTCTGCAAACACAGTGGGGGTCAGTGCCCCCTCCCCATTTCAGTTCCCTTGATGCCCCTCTGGTGGCCTGAGTCAATAGTTGGGGAGGGGGGGTGGAAGAGGCTGCAGATTGTGCAGAATTTGCATCTAACAGTCCCTCATTCCCTTTAAGCATTTGCCTCTGCTTTGTCTGACGCACTCAGGAACCAAAGGGCAGCGTTGGCAGGTCAGTGAGTGCCTCAAGGCCTCTGCCTGGGCAGGGTAACCCGTGGGCCTTTGAATCCACGTGGTGGAGGGGGCTTCCTTCCCCCTTGGCTGGAAGGGGAAGCCTCTGCTGAGGTTCTCCCAGGGCAGATAAGGATCTGGGTTAGAAGACAGCAGACGCGGGCATGCAGGGAGCATCCCCTCTGGGGCATCTGGGTGACTGTTGAAGAGCCTCAAAACCCAACACGTGGGGCCGGTTTTGGGGGGGAGGGGACACATGTGCCTGACCCGTTTGATTCTCAGCACACGTGGTACCCCCGAGTACTGTCCAGTGCAGCTCTATAGGCTGCCAGGGTACCCGAGGCAGCGGGTAGGGCATTTGCTTTGCATGTGACTGACTCACCCCTCAGCATCCCTTATGGTCCCCCCAGCACCCCAACCTACCCATTTTAGAAACAGGAGAACATGATAGAGAATGGGGAGGCTGGTGTGGGACCTTCCTGGGGTTGGCCGTGAATCCACAGGATGAGAGAGTTGCTGGTTTCGAACCTCAGGACCCTAGGGCCCGGCTTCCTGCCTCAGCCCACCTACTCCAGCCCTTGCATGTACACTGGACCACCTCCTGCCCTGCCCTGCACCCCGTCACCCTAAGAATAAAGAGGAAGCTCCTGACCGGCTTGCGGGGCCGGGGTCCTCTCCTCTGGGGCGGCACCCACCATCTGTGCTGGAGGTGGGACTCAGCCCTCTCCCGTGCTCTTACAAACCCCCCTCCAGCTCTTCACCAACACCCAAAGGTTGGTTGCTTTCCTCTGAGATGCGGGCCTGATGCACGGTTCCCAGGGACAAACTCATCTGATTTGGGTTCTGCTGGGCCTGAATGTCAAGGGTACGCAAGGGAAGATAGGGCGCTTGCACCTATGTGTGGAAATGTGTGCTGTCAGCTAAGATGCCTGCCCCTCACTGCCCCAACAGCGGACCACGTCCTCTGCCCTCTTCCTCTTTCCTCATGGGAGGGAGAACCACAGCAGCTGACAGACACTCTGTCAGGGGGAGCTGGCATGGAGGCCACAGCTGGGAGTGCTCAGTGATCAGGTGGTGCCAGGGACTTTGCACATGTAAGGCATGTGCTCGCCACTTGGACCACATCCTTGGGCCAAAAGAATTCTTTTAATTTTTTTTTTGGGGGGGGGTGAAGTAAAATAGTCTTTATGGGAAGAAATTTACTTAGAGAAGTGTGAGATGGAAGCTTAGAATACATACTCAAGAAAGAACACATTTATAGACAAAGCCCAAATAATGATTTTTAACAAGCGGGTCATCCTCAGCTTGGCCGCCATATCTGGCTGGGTAGAGGTGCCGAACGTTGACTGTCAGATGGTTACGGTGCCCAGTCGTTGAACAGATGTGGGAGAGAAAGGCAGAGCTGGGTGCGGGTATCATGGCCACCCCATCAGCCTCCTCATCCAGGGTGACCCCAGTGAACACTGGGCATTTCCTCTGCCCCAGGGCCTTCCCTTGGTGAGGGACTTTCCAGAACTGAGCAGAACTTGGTCCTGGCACTCCTAGAGCTTTAGGGTTCTGTTAGGGATCACGGGCTGAAACAACTATAAGGCAAAGGGTCCAGCCAGAATAACGGGGAGCCACTGACAAGGCCCACCCAGGCCCTGAAGACTCCAGCAGCTAATCAGACCCAACCAGGGAGGGGCTGTAACGATAGTACAGTGGGGAGGGCATTTGCCCTGCACGTGGCCAACTTGAGTTCCATCCCCAGCACCCCATATCATCTCCTGAGCACCGCCAAGACTGACTGCTGAGTGCAGAGCCAGGAGCCACCCCTGAACATCCCAGGGTGTGACCCAACACCCCCACCCGCACTCCCAAACCCCACAAACAGACCCAAGCAGGGAAAAGACCCAGTGGTGGCCAATGTCAGTGGCCAGACTGGAGGAGTGCAGGTGGCGTGATGGTCTGGGGAATCTTCTAGAACTAGAAGCAAACTACTTCTCTCCATGTGGATTATTTTAAGGGAGGAGTGAGGCTAGGGGCCGAGTGAGGTCTGAGGCTTTCTGGCCAATACCACTACCCCATCCTTGCTCAGGAACAAGCCCTGGTGGGGCCTTTGGGGTGTCCCCTTTTTTTTTGCTTTTTGGGTCACACCCGGTAATGCTCAGGGGTTACTCCTGGCTCATGCACTCAGGAATTACTCCTGGTGATGCCCGAGGGACTATATGGGATGCTGGGAATAAAACCTGGGTCAGCTGCGTGCAAGGCCAACGCTTTACCTGCTGTACTATCACTCCAGCCCCGAGTGTCCCATTTTTGTGGGCTCTATTACCCTGGAGATCATCTGGGAGGGTCTAAGGAGCTCTGCCTCTGTTCCAGAAGCACTTGGTGGCAACTGCCCTGGCCCCTCCTGACTTTCCAGGGTTGGGGCACAAGCAAGGGACACCCCATCCCATCCCAGTCAGAGCAGCTGCATTTCTAGGATGTGGTACCCCACGTAGGGCAGTGCGGAGTTGGAGGTCAGCTGATAGCTGTAGCTGGTCTCTGGGTTCAGGCCTGAGGCCACAACCCCTCGGATGGGGATCCTCTGGCCCCCTCATATCACTCAAGGCCCTGGAGGGCTCCCTCCAGATCCTGTGCTTGGAATGAGCTTGTATGACCTTGAATACTCCTGTGCACCCCTTACTTAGGCCCTTTCCCTAAGTAACATGAAAATGTTGAAGATCAGTGGTCCCCAAACTTTCTGAAACACCCAAGTGAAAGTGGATATGATGCCCAACAACAGACACACACACACACACACATGCACGCATGCACGCACGCACGCACGCACGCATGAGCGCACACATGCATGCATGCACTATGTTAGGGGGAGGATGGGAGGGACCCAGACTTGCATGCTGGGCACTCCTCACCCATTGACACAGGGTGGCCAGTGCTGCTGACCATGCTTTATTGTTTCGAGGCCATACCTGGTGATGATGCTCAGGGCTGACTCCTGGCTCTGCACTAAGGAATCACTCCTGGTGGGCTCAGGATTCTCCCTAGGGTGCCACGGATTAAACCCAGGTCGGCCGTGTGCAAGGCAAGCACTCTACCCCCTGTGCTATGGCTCTGGCCCAACAAACACACCTTGAAGGGCACGAGGTAAAAGGAGCTGAGGGATCTGCAGCCCAGGCTCCACTCCTTCCTGGAGTCCCCCGTCCCAGCCCCCAGATATCTCCTGACAGCCATAGGCACAGACTTGGCTTCTTGCGGTGACACGGAACCCATCCTCCTCATGAGGCTGCTGCCAGTCTCAGTGGAGACCCCAGGGCCAAGCCACCACCGGGGGCAGCTGGAGGCCCTGGAACAGCCCGGCCTGGAGCTGGGGTGGGGGTTGGGGGTGGGGGCCATCTATCAGGGGATGGGGCTTGGCTCCCCTTTCTGTGCTGTGTCCTGTCCCTCCTGGAAATGGTACAGCCCAGCCCTCAGTCCCCCAGACTGTCCCTGCCCTGCCACATGCTGACCTCAGTCCTCTGAGACTTTCCCTGGTTCTAGCTTCCTTTGTTCATGCTGGGGGGTGGGGGGGGGCCTTGGGGGGGGGCAGGGTTCTTCCTAGAAGTTCTGCCTCTTCCTCCCTCCCTCCCTCGACCCCACTTCCTTCTGCCCCACTGCAGAATGCCCGAACTCCTTCCTCTCTCTGTCTCCTGTTGCTTGAACAGGACACCCCCAAATTCCTGCACCAGCCAGTCATGCACTCTGGACCCTGGGGAGAACGATGGTGGTGGTGGTGGTGGTGATGGGGTGCTGCTGACTCTTCCTGGGGGCCCTGTGTGTGACCGAATGGACAGTGGGGTCAGGGACAGTGCTGCATCTGCTGTCCCCCACCAGGAGCCCCCAGGCCTGGCTTGTCCCTGGACCTGACTCTCCTCCTCTGCTGGGTGAAGCCCCAGACTTGGGGAGTGGGGTGCGGTGGGGTGGGGAGACGAAGACACCATCCTTCTGGTCTGTGCCAGCGCATTTGGATCCCTCCTCACACTTGGAATACACCGGGTGGGGAAAGAACCGCTTTATTCACGGGTCACAAGCCACCAGCATCTGCCCCTGGCAGGTCTTTGGGTATAAGTTTCAGGTTGTCCTTCCCTCCGGTCTCTCTTTCTGCCCTGGCCGTTTCCGGAGGTGTGGCTTCTGCAGCGGTTCCGAGGGTAGGACCAGTGTCCTTGGAGTCCGGGCCCAGCTTGGGGAGGGTGGGCAGCAGGCACAGGGCCAGGGAGTGGCCGGCCCCACAGCCCACGCGGAGTCCTGGCCATCGCCGCAGAGCCTGCACAGGCTTCGGGGCCTCAACGTTGGCCTCGGTGCCGTCCCCACACATGCCATGCTCGTTCCAGCCCCAGGAGTAGCACGTCCCACCTAGGGAGAGAGGGGACACTGCTGTGAAGGCGGGTCTGGGTGCTGGAAGACAGCAGGGATCAGACTCCACGGCTGCCCTCCATGGGGCTGCTGCACTCCCACTGCCAGTCCGCCCCTCCCCCAACCCGACATACCCCAACACACTCCCATACCCCAAATCCGAGACCTGCTGCCTACATGCACTCATAATCTAAGACCTGCCAACACACACACACACACACACACAATTCAAGACCTGTCAACATAGACTCATCAACCAACGTACACACACACACACATCCCATAATCCAAGACCTGTCAACTCAGACTCATAATCCATCATACACACATACACACACATACCCATAATCTAAAACCTGTCAATAGACAGACCCATAATTCAACACATGCACATCTATAATTCAAAACTGTCAATGCAAAGATTCATAATCCAACATACACACATATACCACCCCATAATACAAGACCTGCTAATACACAGACCCATAATCCAACACACAGACACACACAAATACACCCCCATAATACAAGACCTGTCAACACAGACTCATAATCCAACACACACACACAAATACACCCCCATAATACAAGAATTTTCAATACACAGACTCATAATCCAACACACACACAACCCCCCATAATCCAAGAATTTTCAATACACAGACTCATAATCCAACACACACACCCCACCATAATCCAAGACCTTTCAATAAAGATACCCATAATCCAACATACAAACACCCATAATTCAAAACCTGTCAACACAGAGACTCATAATCCAACATACACACATACACACAGCCCCCATAATACAAGACCTATCAATACACAGACCCATAACACAACACACACACATACACACACACACAAAATCCAAGACCTGTCAATACAGAGACTCATAATCCAACATACCCCCCCACACACACACACACAATAATAGTCCTCCACAGCATCACAAAGCCTGCCAGGGGTCCCCTTGGCCAGTGCCATCACGCCAATCCCAATACCAGCCCCTCATTTGGGCCATGCCCATAGCCAGCTGACTGGTATAATCTATTAGATCCTCAGACAGCAGCAGGTGACCTGCAGGACCTGCACATTTATGCCTGCTTCAGACCGTGCAGTGAGGCCAGGAAGGTGGCTCAGCAGGAGAGTGCCTGACTTGTCTGTGTGAGACCTTGGGTTGGATACCCCGCACCACAATGACAAACACAACCCAGACAAAAACCTTTCCCCATGCTTTACTGTTTGGAGGCAGCTGTCCCCTGGCTGCGAGCCCTGAGCCATCTGCCTTGTGAAAGGCCTCCCTCTCCATTACAGAACTCCCCCCCTCAACCCCCCACCCAGCATGTTCACTTCCTTCAGGTCCAGAAAGGGATCTTCCTCTCTTAAATTCTCTTTCCTGGGCTCCACACCATCTCATCTCTTAGATTCATTTCAGAGTGCCTCAGAGGCCAGATTCCCCGACTGCTCAATCCAGCTTTGGGTATTCTCACGCCCCGATACCTTCCCTTCTCAAGGACCTTGCATCCAGTGGTGGACACATGGTATGGGCACGGCTATGTGGGCATGATCCCCTCCTCCTTAGCTAGCAACTGGCTGGAGGAATGGAAAGGGCATGTTTTGGTTCACTCCTGTGGGCTGGAGCAATAGCACAGCGGGTAGGGCATTTGCCTTGCACGCAGCTGACATGGGTTCGATTTCTCCATCCCTCTCGGAGAGCCCGGCAAGCTACCAAGAGTATCCCATCTGCACAGCAGAGCCTGGCAAGCTCTCCATGACGTATTCAATATGCCAAAAACAGTAACCAGTCTCACAATGGAGACGATATTGGAGCCTGCTTGAGCAAATCGATGAACAACGGAAGGACAGTGCTACAGTGCTAACAGGGTGTCCAGGACATAGCTGGTACTTAGTACTGGCTTGCTGACCACACAGAGGGTGGAAAGGCTGCACCATCATCGAGCCCTGCCCCGAGTTTCTGGCCAATTCCCACTCAGGCCCTCCCCTCACATCCAACCCCATTTGTCTGTCCATGGGGGTATGTTCTTTCTTTTCTGGATGTAAAAGTTACACATCCTTGTGGCCAAAACGGAAAACATGGGAACCAGGCATGAGTGTAGAGAAAAGCCGACTCCCAGAACATCACCCACTACAACAAAGACTGTGTTCTCTTTGCGATGCTGGGGATCCAACCCCAGGCTCATGCATGTGTGGTTCGTGCTCGGCTGCTAAGCCCCAGTCTGCAGAGTGTGAGTTTTTTTGCTTTTTGGGTCACACCCAGCGATGCACAGGGGTTACTCCTGGCTTTGCACTCAGGTATTACTATTGGTGTTGCCCAGGGGACCATATGGGAAGCTGGGAATCAAACCCGGGTCAGCCGCGTGCAAGACAAACGCCCTACCCACTGTACTATCACTGCTTCAAACCGTTGAATGTTTTGGATAGCTCTTTCGGACTTTATGAAATTTCCTTGTATCTACGGAAATTTTGTCCTGCTTTTACCCCTTAACACTGGAACACAGACATTTCTCCATGGACTTACAAATGATTAAAAAAGTAAATTAAAAAGGATTTGTTTGAAATAGCTCCACATGCAAAAAAAAAAAAAAAGTAACAACAGAAATTCACACACCCCTTTCCAAATTAGGACATTAGCAAACACTTTGCCATACTGATTTCAAACCTCCCTTAAAAAAAAAAAAACACAAAGATACAGTTGAAACCCCCACTTTCTACCGGTTTCTCCCCCCAGTCTCTCCTCTGGGAAACAGCCACTATTTGGAAACTGCAGTACATTATTTGCATGCTAGTTTTATATTTTTCTACCGACATGTGTCCTTGAATACTACGTAATGTTTTAGTTTGTTTTAGAGACTCACATAAACAGTGTCAATCAAATATGTTTCATTTTTGTGACTTGCTCTCTATACTCAGCATTGTTTTTGAAATTTATCTGAGATGACAGTTCCAGATGTAGTTCATTTATTTTCATTCTGACTGTGCATAGCACCAATTATAAATATAATTATGTACCGATCCTGCTTTACTTGTCTGTTTTCCTTCTGATGGAGAGTCTTCTAGACTGCTCTTTTATTATGCAACAAAAGACTTAGCATACAGTCATACTGTGGGACAGTAAAACCAACAGTGTTGCTGTAATACACAGCACAGCAGGGAACACCCTTGACTTTGTTTCCGGGTGCAGGGCTGATTTCCAAAGGCATGGAAGTGAGATGCTGTGTTCCATTTTATTGGATGTAGCCAAAGCGTTCTCCAGTGGCTGAGGTCATCAGTGATCCCCCTCAACAATGGACATGAATTTATTTCCTTCTATTTTTGCCTTTAAACTATTTGCTCTTCTGATAAAATGCATTCAGGTAATTTGTATTTGCCTACCAGTGTTTTGGTGGAGCTTGGGGCCTAGCTGCCTCCATAAACACACATCCCCAGGCTGTTCTCTGGTTACTTGCCTCTTATTGATCTGCAAGTTTTCTTTATGGATCCTTTTGTTTTTGTAATTCTTTGTAACAGGCATTCTTTGGTGTGTTTCTTAACTTTGTTTATGGTATCTTTTGTTACACAGATTTATTTCAAATCACTGCTTAATTGTTTATTATGGAGATTAAACAATTTGCTTAACCTGTGTCCTATTATCAGATACTAGGTTGCATCTGATTTTTCATTATTTTGTATAACATTCCGATGAACATCTTTATGCATGAGTCTCTTCTCTTCTCTCTCTCTCTCTCTCTCTCTCTCTCTCTCTCTCTCTCTCTCCAGTTATTTTCCTAAATTAGATTCTGAGGATGGGAATTTCTGGTCAAGGGTAGACCTGGTGAGGCTCCCGTGAGCCGCTGCCTTGGACATCACCTCCACCGGCTCTTATTCACTCCAGCACTGTGGATAGCACAGCGGGTAGGGCGTTTGCCTTGCACGCAGCCAACATGGCCGACCCGAGTTCGATTCATCCGCCCCTCTCGGAGAGCCCGACAAGCTATCGAGAGTATCTTGCCCGCACGGCAGAGCCTGGCAAGCTCCCCGTGACGTATTCGATATGCCAGACACAGTAACAACAATGGAGACGTTACTGGGCCCGCTCGAGCAAATCGATGATCAACGGGAGGGCCTTTACCTTTACCATGTTTAAAATATTAACTAATTTTAAATACAAAAAAAAATCGCTGTTTTAATTTCCACATTTCTAATTATCCTTGAAATGGAAGATTCTTTTGTTTCTCAGACACTTTTCTGTTTTATGGAAGAGCGAAAGGGCGAGGGTTCAAGAGTCCGATGGCAGAGGTTCAAATCCCAGTTCCAAGTCACTCAACCTGGCCAGGGCTGGAATGACAGCACAGCGGGTAGTGCACTTGCTTTGCACATAACTGACCCCGATTCGGATTCGGTTCCCAACATCTCCTATGGTCTTCCAAGTGATGCCTGAGTGCAGAGCCAGGAGTAAGCCCTGAGCACAGTCAAGTGTGGCCCCAAAGAAACAAACAACAAACAAACAAATCCAAGTTACTAGACCCTGGGATAGAGAGCTAGGACAACAGGTAAGGCCCTTTCCTTACAAAGCAACTGCCCCTGGCACTATACAGAGGCTCTGAACAGAGAGCCAGGAGGAGCCCCTGAGCACCAGAGGGTGTGTCCCCACCAACACAAAGGAGGTACCAAGTTACTCAGTCTCAGGTGTATAGCTCCCTCAGCTGTTAGCTCAGGTAAGAGTTCCTTTATTAGAAAGTCAGCATCAAGAGGAATGAGAGGAGTAAGCATGTATAAAATCCTTACTACAGAAATTGACACACCGCTCACATAAAAGCAGTGGCTACTGAGATTCTTGATGAAGAGCCTTTTAGTTTTAAAGATTTGTATTTTGGGCTGGCTGCGTGCAAGGCAAATGCCCTACCCGCTGTGCTAGGGCTGGAGTGATAGCACAGCGGGTAGGGCGTTTGCCTTGCACGTGGCCAACATGGCCGACCCGAGTTCGATTCCTCCGC